ACACACACAGACAACCTCTCGTCAATATGCGTTTTCTGCATTGCATAGCTGCAAAAAACGCATAAACAGTCACAAATTATTGTCGTCATGTCACGAGGTACATAAGATGTTGTATCGGGAAAATGAGGAAAATTATTTGCGCACATAAGTTACCCAACCTGGGTGAGCTCAGTTCGAACGATGGTCGGTATGCAAGATTTGTCGTCGTCACCAACACGAAAGCAAACCGCTTGAACTTCGAAAAACCGAGGCATCGAGAACAGTATTGCCATCAGCGAAACAGCAATCATTAAACGCTTTACCCGGCTGCAAGTTAGCATACGAGTATTTCTTCAGTAAATTCATAAAACACCTTTCTGTGAGCAAAAAAAGAAAAACGGGAAAGACGCTGTCTCTTTTTTGAGTAATAATACAGTAGTTTTAAAGGACCTCTTCAAGTACTGAATTTTAACTACTGGGTGTTTAGGTACTGATGTTTCGAGTACAAATATTAATGACTTTGAATACTTCAATTTATTCGTGGCAAAGCTTCTTCAGTCTGCAGAAGTACCCTGATAACACCAATAATACGAGAACCCAACAACGAATGTCCGGATGGTACTAAAAAACAATAACTTCCATAACTTTTATTTAAAAAAAATTGCTAATGTGCCAATAAAAAATTTACAAAAATTTGCTAGTTTGGAAAAGCAAATTTCCTTAATTTTGAAAAATTTCAAAATAAAATTTACAAAATTCATTTATAACTTTTCAAAAAGATATTGCTTTCAAGGGCACAACGTTCATGCATGTCCAGTTTTTGCAGAATGTAAAAATTAATTAATACATTTCGTGATTGGAGCATAAATTTAAAATTCCTTAATAAAGTAAAAAAAGGTTCCAGTTGATTAAAAATATTGAATCCCATTTACCAGGACAAGTGTTTTCCATTCTTTTTTTCGATTTTTTTCTTGGCCTGTTTTTTTATTTTTTGATTTTTTCAATCAAAATTGAGTCTCAACAAGCAACGCTTAATATTTGACCTGCAGTAGAATCAAAACTATTCGCATACCAACAGTGGTACCTACTACAATAACACTCCAGCAATTCCGAAAGTAACGTACTTAATAATCGACCAGAATCGGAATAAAATTATATAGCTCAGGAAAGAAGCCATGGAATTTTAGAAAGAAGCTATGGAATCTACATCGGTTGTCGAGTGTCTTCCTGTTCTTCGCTCATAACCTTGCATGCGTTTGTTAATCAGGAGTTAAAAATTTTTCCGCATCTATCTTCCATGAGAAGCGCTGGTATCAGAGGAACAGTCTAGGTAGTAACAAGTTCCAACAGCAATCACTCGCTCGCAAGGCCGCTGATAGCTTTTTTCTCGCTTGAGGATTGCTTACAACCAACGCCTGATTTCTTGGCACATACCAGAATCAATTTATCGCCGAAACGAAAAAACAAATTGTAAAAGGATTTAGCTACCCCACTGGCAAAGTCGACCTTCCAGTCTCCTGTACGACAGTAGTGGTGTTACTTCTGCTACACCCTGCCCGTCAGCTTAAATAATTTATGCATTCATATTCACCTGCGTTTTCCGATGGCACGATGAGTAAGCGGCCGACAGAGCGCCAAATAACGGTCAATGGTCAGTGTAAGCACGATCCAGACCGAACCAGTGTGTGTTGTATTGGCGAGAGCATAAGCATATGGATACAAATATACGTAACAGCCAGTATCCACCAATCGGCCGTAGATTAGCGTTGGCAACGAATATAACAGAAAGGCATTAGATAGCAGTGCTGTCTGCCAAACAGTTAGTGAAACCTAAAGTTATTCTATAACATGAACTTATGGTTTAGTAATCCAAATTAGGGATATCTGGATCGTCTGGCTGACCAACAGGCCTTGCAGCATTCGTCAAATAAGCGGAAAGCTGCCAGATAATTATTATGGAAGTACGCTATGAATTAGCAGCTGACTGTAAATATATATTATTGGCATAATGGCGAGCTTTTTTTTGCTAGTAAGCAGTGCCTGTTCTTAAAATCAGTTTGGTAATTCAAAGCCACTCGCGACAGGAATAATCTGTTTAATGATAAATCATTACTAGTGTGCTTTAAAAACTCGTATACCAGGCCAACTTTTCGAGTAATCCTCCGAAACAGACACCATCAATAACTTAGCATGCACACGCGTTTCTCGTATCAGGATGAGTTAGAACCGAGTGAAATAATTGGTCTTTACGAGGAAGTCAAAAACTCGTCCGGACTTACTTTTTAAGAGAGAAGTTACTCGAAAATAGCTCAGGTAGTAGTAAGTGCCACAAGTAACCGTTCATTGGCAAGCTGTTAATGGCTGCCTTTTCTAAAGTCTCTTACATGCGCCAGCATCAGTTTATCATCGAAATAAATAACTGGCCAACGCACGGGCTGCCCGTGCGAAGATGCATTTTTTGCATAGTTCTCCGCAGTTTTTGCTAATACGGCACCGGCTTTTTCGGCAAATGCTTCTAGCTAAACAAATTAAGACTGGCCACCAGAACTGTCAG